AGTGAGTTGCTACAGAACCCGAGAGTTAAGCAGTTCTTTTCAAGATCAAGGCAATAGCTTTTTCATCAGGATTTAAGTTGTCATTACCAACACGTTTGCTTTCCAGCCATAAAACTTAGAGGAGTGTATCAGTCTGAGAGATTTCCTCTCAAAGTATAGGAACATAAGGAACACCCTACTTGCTTAGACCAATAGCCTATCTAACCCATTAGTACATGTTCAAGAGCAGCAAACCAAAATGCTATTTAAGGAGAGCATGCAAGCCTGGCCGCTGTATTTTGTACTCTCCTCCAAAATCCATATTAGTGATGTGATAGGATACGTGCCTGCAAAGTGTTTTTAGTGTTGCTTTAGGAGCTGTTTTTTCTGAATTTGTCTAACCCCCTTTTGAATCTGTTGATGCTGTTTGCCTACACAGCCCTCTGTGGCAGCAAGCTCCAGATGTTCTCTGCCCACTGCATAAAAATGCACTTTCTTAATCAGTTATAAACTGATCTCATTCTAGTTTCATTGAGTGCTCTCTAGTCCTGGTAATGTGGCTTTGGTGAGAAACAGTTATGTGTTTATCTTAGCCACTGTCTTCAATATTTTGCAAATTTTAGCCCCTTCCACCTTCCCTCTCGTTTGAAGACCTTCCACTTTTTTAGTCTCTTCCTGTAAAGCAGCTGCTCCACACCTTGATCATCTGAGATGCTCTTCTTTGCACTCTTAGGTTGAATGACCAAAGGCTAATCATGGTGAACACAAAGACCCAACAAGGGTCAGAGGAACAATAGGAGGTAAAGGAACCCCGGCAAGCTGAGCAATGAAAAGGAAGCAAAACTGCCTATTGCCAAGACCACTCAAGGGGAATGACCAGATCATTGTCCCTGGGGTGAAACCTACCAAGGTGACCCAGGGAAGAAACTCCTTCATCTGAAATGTAATGCGAACTAAAGAGGTGTTTTCCTAAAGGGATATGGGACTTGTTATGGTATGCAAGGGGAAGAGAACTGTATGAAAATATTATGGGCTATTTTAAGGGGATTGTGAGAATGTGTAAGACTTACTGTGGGATGTTTAGAGAAAGGACCAAATGTGGGCAAAGGGAGGGATCGAAGTGGATCAGGGAGGAATAAGAATGAGAAAACAGAGGGAAAATGGTATTAAAATGTCCAGTCAGTACATGATACCCACCCTTCCATCTCCCAAACTTTTTGTAGGCTCTCATTTTCTCCCTGCTTTATTTACCCACCATCACCTCATTCTAATAGCCAAGTGTATCCCATTCCCACTTACCCTATGTACTTATTTTTCTTTTTCCTCACCACTGGCTTTCCCTACACCAATTTTCCCTTATTCTTTTAGCACCTTGGTATCAGAAAGGTATAAGAACCCAATTATATGTTAGAGTTTTCAGGGAGGAACTTTGAAATAACTAAGCAAGCATAGGATACTAAAACAGGGCTGAATGAAGCTGGGCAGTTGGTGAGGAGGAGATTTTGTGGCTCAGCTGCTGTGTTGTGATATGGAGTGCTCCAGGCCAGGCTCTGGTAATAGAGAAATAGTAATAAATTTTAGTGCTGTTCCCTCGATAAGGCTGTCTTGATGGAGGGTACACAGCAGAATAGAATCCATCCCAAACTCTGGAAAAGGTGAACAATTTATTGGTAACTGTGTCAAGGAGAACACAGAACCGAAGTATTTATGTGACTGCAGGGGTCAAACCTGACTGAATAGCTAAATAAAGACCTATTGATTTCACTGGGAATTTTGCCTCTGCAGGAACTAAATGATGAGGATTAAATATTTGCAGTAGAATAGTGACATCAGAAAAAGGATAAAACTGAAGTTATTAGGAATTACTTTTCTGAATATAGTCTAAAGCACCATCTAATTCTGGTTTCAGTTGGTTCCTTATTTTGCATAAGTAATGTTTAAGAGTGGCTTAGCTTCACTGTCTTACATAAACGTTTTCCTTCATTTAGCACAACATACTGTACACTTTATGTGGAGGTAAAGCAGCCATGTCTGCTCCACTATATGCACAATCTACTTGAAGATAACTCAGTTTATATTTAGATTGTTAGGAAAAGTGGAGCAATATCTATGACTCATGTCTCCCCCAGCTTCAGAAACAGTATGTTCTTCATCCATAATAAAATCATAGAGCTACATCCCAGAGAATAATTCCTCCAAGTCACAGAACCACTTATAACCTTGCTGGTGTTCATACATACCAGTGGAATTTGAATAGATTTCACCAGAAATACCTCAAATGGTATTTCAGGGATGGAGAAGTGGTTGCAACTGAGTAGGTTCTGCAGGCCAAACTCTGCACACACCTGGGCAGTTTGTATTTGTTCATTCTATTCCCCAGCTCCATGTGAATAACCAACCCTCCCATTCCCTGTTTCAAGGATTGACTTCAGTTTTTTCAAACTCTCTCCCATCTGTCATTCACCTGTTCTCCATTTTACCCATCTCCCCAACAAAGGACTTCTGTTCCTTCTGTTCTGTTTCATTAATTTCATTCAGTATCCTCCACCTACTTATTTTTCCTCTGTGACATCCATTGGTCTCCTTTACTCTTTCCTCTCATAAGAAAATCTGAGTGCTTGCAGTATCTCCGTTCCTCTTTGTCCCAGATCTCCAATTGTCCTGTTCCTTCCTATTCCATGTTAATGCCTCTTTGCATATTTTCATAGTCCCAGCCTTCCTGTGCCCCAGAATGTCCTTTTGTCTGTTATTAATTACCTGGGAATAAATAATTTAGGATGTTCCTATCCTTGTGAATGTACTAAGTCTATTCCAAATTAGAAGTCACAAGAGAAAGCCATCATTATTTTAATTATGGGTGCCATCAAGCAGTTGTTAGACTGCTAAACTATTGCAGAGATGCTTGTGGTGCCCTGCAAGCGGCTCATTTTTTTCCCATTCTGGCTTCTTGGGGTTTTTTTTTGTTTTTTTTGTTTTGTTTTGTTTTTTTTGTTTTGTTTTGTTTTGTTTTGTTTTTGTATATAAAGACTGCGTATGACTGCAAACTACAAGATTGTCTGTCCAGTTCAAAAAATGACACATTTGCCTCACTTCTTTTTTAATAGTGAGCCCAAAAGATTAAATTTAAGGACCAAATACTTCCATCAGTAGCAGTGGTAGTATTCTACCAGTTTCCCAGGGACTACACATCTTTAACCAAGTCAGGGACGTAGCATATTTATCTCAGTAATACACTTTTGTGCTACAAAGTTGAAGTTACATAAAAATAAACAAATAAAAGACAAAGTAACTGTATTTTCTGTTGCCTCATCTTTATTGGAAGTAGCTGTGGTATTTTTTTATAAGTTTATAGAGTTTGGTTCACTGACTGATTTTATATATTTTCATTTGAAAATCTCTGTAAACGTATGCATACATAATAAATTAGCCTCACCACACCCATTCAAATGTTACATTCAATCTACAGAAGAGTTCAAACGATGCAAAAGTTGAACCCTGATGCAACTGAATTAAATGAGATTTTTTTAAGGAGTCCAAGGTCTCATCAAAAGAAATTATTTTGCCATTAGTGTCAGAGCATGCTGATGGGACCAAGAAATCCTGGCACTACTGAAAAAAATCAGTGGCAATGATCAGCCACTGCCAGGCGCTTACAGTGACTATAGCAGACTACATTCTCTGGGGGTGGATTCAGCATGTTTTCAAAAAATCTGTCTTTTTGTTTTGCTTTGTTCTTTTAAATTATTCTTTTAATGCCATTTTAAGAAAATCAGTTAAAAAGAAATCAATCTGAATTTCAAAAATGGTTAACGTAACATTTCATGTTATCAAGGGACAGTACTAGGAACTATGGGTGTAGCAGAAAAGAAGGGAAGACCTGAGGTCATAATCTGCAAATGAAGCCACACAGTCCACAGACGTAGAGGTCAGTCAGTTTTGTATGTTTTTCGGTGGCAATTTCTAGAACACATTTTTGCCTACTGATTCATGGAAAACTAACAACATGACAAATAAGTGAAGCAATGAAACATTCTGGCTACTGAAACAGGATGAAATAAGTTATGTTCTGAATTTTAGGAGAACTTGCAACCGTGCAGCTGAAGCTGGTTTAAGTTAAGCTGCCCCTTTATGCCATTCCTCTTCCTGACCTTCCTGCTGGCATATGTGCACGGCTGTCAGGTGAATCAGGCAAGTATACGGATCTGTCTGAATCATAACTTTCCCTGCATTACTTTTCAACTGGATCCAATTCCCTGGTCTGATTAATTTCACAGCTTTAAACACTTTCAGAACTGAGAGAACAGAGAAGAGTGGCCAAAGGGAGGGATTGCTTACAGTATATGCTGCTATCAACAGGAATTTACATTAAACCATAGCCAGAACAGCCCCGGCTCTAGCTTCCTGGGCACTGCTTATTGGTAACTCTTCTTGGGAACAGTATTCTGGGATCTGGCTAGCCCAGGTAAACTTGGCATAAAATTCCTCAGGTCTCTTCAGTAATTTAAGTACCTCTCCAGAGCTTCAGTTCTGTGTCTCTGACTTAAACACACTGGGGACACGTAACAGCTGAAGGAAGTACTTTGCAGCCTTTGTAGAGGCACTGCAAAACCACTTACACCAGTGATGGATTCTTACCCCAAAAATACTCCTGTATTCCTTTCCTCTCCTCAATGTTATCACCATTCTTGAGCTTTTCCTGGTCTTTGATCACTGTTTTCAGGTCATAAGTCTCCCTCCAGAACACTCCACATCTAGCTTAGCTTTCTTTTCCTTCTCACAAAATCTCCTCTGAATGCTAGAATATGCAGTCTGTCAGTTAAAAGATCTGCCAGAAAAGAATGTACTTTCACTACATCCCCCTATGAAAGTGTCCATTTTGCCTTTCACATCTTTGTCTTTTCTTCTTTGGAGACTCCAAGCTCTGCACTGGCACGGGGAGAATGGTTCATCACCGCAGCTCTTCTAGAGTCTACTGTGCCTTTTTATCTTTATGTCCTGGACGTATATGACACCATGGCAGATACAGCACACACTGAAGCATTTAATGATGCATCATTTTATAAAAGTAATCTGTGTTATACAAATAAGTGCCTAACATTTGCACACGCATTGATTTTAAGTATTATAGTAGCATATAGGCATATTAATACACTGAATTTTGAAATAGATACATAAACATAAATTAAAAGGTACATATGCAGTTATTTTCATTAGTGTTGAACTAAATCATGTCTATTACAAAGGAAGAAATAAAATATTGTCAATAGGATTTGCTTCTGTAGCCCTTTCATAGATAGTATGCAAATTTCAGCTGGTAGAAGACACTTCTGGATTTGCCCCTGGGCAATGCTAGAGAGAAACTCTGAACTGCGATTAATGTCTGCAGCTGAATGATGAGCATAAAAGGTCAGTTTGGATAGTATATGATGACCTTGAAATTGGGTTTTACTTGTAATTTATGTTAGGATTTCAACCCATATAAACAGATTGAAATTAATAAAATTATGGCAGTTTGCACTACCTTATATAACAAGTGCATAGAGCAGCATATTACAATAGAATGCTTCATTAGGACACAATTTGTCAGCCACTTGAAGTGGGATAAAGCTATCACTGCTGCACCATGAATAGAAGATAAATGTATGTACATTTTCTTTAGTACCTTCTGAAAGGAGTTCTGTGCTTGTGATGTGCCTTGTTCTGATTTTATGTACTAAATACAGTGGTATAGACAGCAGTTCCTTCCCGCTGCTTGGATAAAGATGTATTAGAACAGGTGACTCGAAAACTTTTTACAAAGTGTTAAATATAGAGAATATATTTACATGTTCTCGGTCTGTTTTCTAGCAGTGGTACTTAGAGTGATTTCTGCAATAAGGATCTGGTTTAGTCTCCAAATTAGACAATATCTTGCAGATTCAGAGAGAGAATGTTCTAAGAATTTGGACAAAAATTTCAGAAGGATCAAACCAACTTTGGAATTAAAGTCCTGTTTTCAAAAGTGACTTAGTCACCTAAATATTATTGCTGTGCGGTAAGATGCAGACTCCAAAGGCACAGAACCTTAACTTCCAGCTTCCATTAACTTCATAACCATATTGACCATACTCAATGCTCACTGATCTAGCTGATCTATAACAGAGCCCTTGTGCAAAAGATTTCAGTTGGTAACAGTGATAATAAGGTGAAAAGCCTTGAAGCCCATTATCATTCCCCTGAACTATTTTAGTCTCTAAATGCATACACATACTAGTTTGCCTTGATTTTGTTTTATACATGCCATATGAGTAGCTTTGAATAGTTTCTTCCAAGGAGTGTCTTCATGCCCATTTTTTTCAGTTATTAAGGGCCAGGTTCTGCTCTCTGTGCCATACGCTTTGTACCCCTGAAGCTGTTTATATTCCTCTGTGTCAAAGGGTTGGCTTCTCTGACCAACTGTAAACAATTAGGCCAACTATTTGACCAGAATTTAACAAAGCTGGAGATTGAATTAAATTCTTGAGACTTTCTAGGCAAGGGAGCTGCAGGGCTGATTCTGGAGAGCAAAATTTAACACATCTTTTGATAAAACCAAATGTCATTCTTTTCAATGAATGCATATAGTGGTTGCTTGGAGTACTTACAGTCTCAGCTTTGTCCTAAGTGGTAAGTTTGAGCACACTTTATGAGTAGCTAGTGGACAACACAGAAGACAAAATGATTTATTATTGCATTTGCCTCAACATGTTGCATTAGAAAAATTATTTTATTATTTTTTTTATGACTCCTGACAACAAAGTGCAGGTAGTATTCTCATTAAGCCTTTGGCAAATATTATTCATCCCTAATATGACTTCTAAAAAAATGTATTTATTTAATTTATAGAAATGCAAATGCTAATGCATTGACAACCACACTTTTCCTGTTCTGTTAGAAATTTCTTAGATTCACATTGCAAACTAGCTTCCCGTGTTTTAGAGAGCATTTGCCTCTGTCATGCATTACTGATTTGATACACAATGACACTCATTTCTCTTCAGTCTATATTATACAGGCCACCATGTCCCCAGTTATTGTCACAGTACAACACTAAGTGCAAATAACAGGGCCAACTTTTAAGTTACAATGAATTGAATGGAGTTATAACCAGGAAAATACAAAATGTAGTAACCCTGTAGCTATTTAATTTGTCTGTTACTTATGCTCAGTGTACCAAGTCCACAAATGTACAACAGAACCATTAGCTGCATAGTCATTAGCACCATGTATTATGTATCTTTTTACATGTACATTGTTTTCCTGTTTGTTTTAATACCAGAGCCATTACCAATTACAGTTCTCATTCAGATGATCCCAGCAATAGGTGGCATCATCAGTCCGTTTCCTAGTCAACTCATGCAGGGAGACTGGCAGAAATGTTCCTGATGCTGGGTGAAAATATTAACGACTGCATAACATATTTAAAAATAGATCCTAAAAAATGAATTATTCATTTAAAACATTCAGCCAGACCTATGAAGCATAAGGAAAGTGAGGTTTAATTAGTTTGTATGAAATTTTTGGTAATAGCAAATGCACTTGGAAGCCATTTTACACGAAAATCTCACCAAATCAATGTCAAGATTCAAGTGCCTATTTTTAATGTTTTTCTTTCAGTCACACAATTGTGCTGGCCCTAGAGTAAACAATAAAACACATTTACCTGACGTGAGTTATCCCACTGGAATAATTTGTGCGAATAAAGTTTAGCACATGTCAAGGGCTGCAGGCGTAGGTCAAAAGCATGGAAAATTTCCAGCATCAGAAACAAAAGAACGTGTTCATAGAATAAAAAATGGGAAATGTTTTATCGTTTTAAGTAAATAGAGACACACCTAGTCCTGTATAAGATGGAGATCTGAGTCTAAAAACTCTTTTTTTAGACTGTGCCCAAGCCTCAGGAAAGATTTACCTTGTAAAGCTCCCTGCAGTTCTGCTTGCCCAGTTGTCCCACCAAGACCTGGTGGGAATACACAGTTTCTGTCTGGCTCATGTGCCAAGGTCCCCATTCTGCAGAGTGAAACATAGCATGCCAGCGGTAAAGGGGGAACGGGATGATAAATACTTTAGTTGTTGTCCCATTATAATACTGAGATTTAACAAAAGAACAGACGCAGCTGTGGGAAGCAGAAAGCATTCCTGGGTTCTGCAGTGTAATCTTTTATTTACTTTCTGTGACCATCTAGAGCAATGATTTATGATTGCTTTTGCCTACAAAAGAATTACGATTGAGGCAATGAAGCCCTTGGATTTTAAAAGCAGTGAGTCAGAAGAAAGAAATGATCAAATACCAGAACACTGAATAGATTAAAGTGTAAAATGAATGTTTTCACCTTCTGTCTTAGAAAAGGTCCAAACTGCATCAAGTATCCCATACTCCTGAAATCAAAATGAAAAGTAAAAACAAAACATCTATGGAAAATACGAAAACAGAGCTTGTGAGTGAACATTTCATGGCCTTGAGCATATTTACATAGACAGGAAATGTCCATATTTGATCTACAGTCTGGAAGTCATGCTGGTTTGATTGGTTTGTGTGTTACCTTCCCAACCACATCTGATCCTTTTTATCCTCTTCCCAAAACATGGGAGGAGCAGTATGCATTTACAAAGGAGAACTACAATAGGAAGAAAAACTGCTACCATAAATGAAGGTGGTGTATACCAGATAAATTGATTAACATCAACCCACTTATTCCAAGCAAACACCAGTGCGTGAACAGTGCATAGGAGCAGAGCCAAATATCCCATCTTGCTCTGAAAAGAGAAAGAAAGTAGTAAGGTATTTATTTTTTCCAACTTGGCAAAAAAACCCACTCTGTTAAGCAGATATGGAAATCAGGAAGGGCCTCAACCAACGCACTTAAGTCAAAGAAAAGAGAACATAGGCTTTGAACTAAAATATAAGAACTGTAATTCAAGAATCTAACTGTGCCCCTCTATGCTACCATAAGAGAAAACAAATGAGGCACATTTTTCAACTATTGCTATGATACTTAGCTAATATACAGAAGAGATCATGGATTACAGGCTATTCTTGAAAAAGGGTCAGTTCTCAATATCTCAATTTACAGATGCCATCTCTATCCTAAATTACTTTATTTCTGTGATAAATTATTATGAGTTCAAAAGTAGATTTATAAATGGTTTAACAGATTATTTGCAAGGAAAAATTTTAAGGTCAGTTAAAATCAGAAACTCTAGTAAGTCTAGTACTATGACAAAAGCATTCACACAACTACAGGAAAGTGAAGTCTTTCATTCCACTTACAGTAACAAATTTGGCTACGAAATTCAGGAGTAAAGGAATTTTTATGGTAAAGTTACTAGTAAGTTTGAGTTTCTTGTTACATAACAATCTTGATATTGTTAGAAAAATGGAATTAGTCATCAGTGAAGTCAAATACTGCCTTTCCAAGTGCTAAATCTACAGAATCTGATTTTCAAGTATAAAGGTTATCTGTTTATAAAACTAATCCACTATATTAGTATTACTCTTCTGGGTTTTTTCACCATGCTAATTTAATACTGAAAGCAATCATGCACTAGACCTGTTCATATAGATCTCTGTAGAGCTGAAAACTTTTCTTACAAATGATGCGCTTCACAGAGTGGGCAGAATCTCAAACTGGTAATTGTAGGAAGAGATATATTTCAGATCTTTTCAAATTCAGATCAAGTTTTCAAATGCCAGGTACTTAGTAGGTCATTGGATTTTCAGATTTTGGTGTTCAAGGACCTAATTCAACACTCCTTTAACCCTAGTGTGATCATATTGATGTCAGTAGAACCATCCCTGAGTATTACTGCATATAATATAGTAGAACTAAGAGCAAACCAGATACTTAGGTGATTGAAGCAAGTACATCTGTAGCAAATTGAGGACTGGCTGAATTTAATTATGTATCTGTTCTAAGATGTCTCCTTTTCAGATAACACCTTTTCTGGAGGGGGTTATGAAGCTGATAATGCTGCAGATGGAGAACCTTTGCATGTATTATTGGGCAGAAGCCTTCTTCTGAACTTTGCAGCCACCTGGTACTGCTCAGGCAGTAAAAAATTGCCAGAACAGCTCCAAGGGAGCAACAAGCAATTCTCCTTGTGTAGTGGAATCTCATGTTGTATGGGAACAGAATTGGCTGGTTCAAAACCACCTACTCCCAATTCAGCAGGACACAGGGCTTTCCTGAAACATAAGATGTCCAGAAAATGACTGAAATGCCTTCAGCACCAGAGGTCTTTGACCTAAGAACAGGTCCTTTAAGGGACAACTGCTGCTGGTCACCAGGTCAGAGAAGCAAAAAAGTGGTTTGGAGCTGTCTGTCTTCCCACTTCATACCCTGAACCTGACAGCCTTTTCTCCTGACAAAATAACAAATAAAATGAACATTTTTTGCAAAGCAATTAACAAAGAGTACAGAACAAACTTCTAGATTGGTTCTACTAACTTCTCTGTGTTTGATATTTTTAACTCCTGATGGTCTTAGTTGATAACATGCAGTCCTACAAATCAGGACTATTGACATGCAATAGTGGCATTTATGTATACCTGAATGTAGTGGAACTCTCTCCAGGTCAGAGAGTGACTGACAGATGGGATTGATGTTATTGCCAACAAGGCCAGCAAAGCAAGTCCCAGAATTCCTAGAGACACATAAATCTCCATTCTCCAAACATCATGTTCAATCCAGGCATTTTCTTTTTTTTGTTTGACCTGCCAAAAGAACACCTTATTTAAAATGACAGAGTGGCGCACACAGCCGTTTGTGTGAAATACAGCTATTTTCACCATAATATTCAGGAAAGAAGCCAAGAAACATAGTATTTTTGTTTGCTTGAATGTCTCTGAATGTAACTGCTATTTACTTCTGATCACAAAGTCTCCACTAGTATCTGTAGAGCAAAGGTGGGCTTTAAGTGAAAAGTATTTAGACTTTATCAGCATCTTGGCTCAGGAGAGACTGGTTCTGAGGCCTGTTAGCCTGCCTCTACATCAGGAGAAACCTTATGCTTTGACAAAAAAATTCCACCTATGGCTAAATACCATACCGAGGACATTATAACAACAGGAAATATATTAACAGCACTATTTCAGGGAGCTAATTCAGCAGGCATTCTTAAAGATGGTATCTTGCCAGAATAGTTGTTTGGCTCTGTTTTTTTAAAAACAACAACTTGGTACATCCAGCTGCACTGAATATGATGGTTGGTATGGAAAGAAAAGGTTGTGATTTTAACAAACTGATGTCAAAGCTTCTCCTATTTATGAGTACTTGCAACAACCCTTTGATGCTGCTAGTGGTCACCATGGCATAATATACCCCCTAATACAATAATTTCTTCATCTTGAGGACTGGAATCTAAAGGAAATTTCTGGTAATCCATTCAAGTCATATTACTGGTAAGGCTGATTTCAGAGTTTTCAGCAGGTAGTTTGACTGTTTACAAAATTCTTAAGCTGCTAACTTCATATTGTGTTTTAAATAAAACTCTAGATTAGACTTCAAGGGTAATAAAAATGAACATTTGCAGTCTATACCTTACATTGGAATATTCCTTATATTGCAATACTCATGGCACTCAAAGCGGTATGCAAATGTCAGGAACTCTCTAGTCACAGAGGATCTTAGAGACCTTTGCTATCCAATTACTGCCCATGACTCAGAAGCATGATTGAAATTCTATCTTTTAACAAGTTAGTGTGCATCAGCCCAATTGTGGAGCCATCAGTGTTCATGAGTTTATTTTCTGGCAAATACAGATTATTGTGATTTAGCTCAGCCCTCCTTCATTGCTGGCTAATTCACTTTACAAAGAATATGTCTAAAAATGGTGTGTGCTCGGTTTTTGTAGATAGATTCCACCGGTGCAGAGAAGATTAATCCATACTAAACTCACAGTGTGCCAGGGACTTAAATGTTCCTGTGAGGCAGGTATAATTATGTGCATTTTACAGAGAGATAAAAAAATCCCAAGTGAAAAAGATGACTTATTTAATACACACTGGCACAGCTGTGATGACTCTTGACTCTCCATTACATGCTTTAACAACTAGGTCCTGCTCCATCCCCTAACAGTGCTCTGCAGGGATCTGCTTCAAAATCAAAGGCAATGAAAATGGTTTTCTCCCCTCCCCCCTGAATTTCTTGACTGACCAAAACAAGGATTTTCTGAATACAGAAGTGCTGGTATTTGTATGCCCATCATACCTGCTGGAATGCCCAGTTCAGCAGCTTGTATCTGTATGATCTTCTCATTGGATAGCATAAGCTATAGCAGGCGTGCATTGCAGCGAAGAAGAAACTGAGAAGTCCAAATTGCTTTCTTGATAACATCCATCTATCCAACCACTGAGGAAACCTTTTATACTTGGTGCAAAAGTACAGCTGGAAACCAGCAGCTAATATTCCTGGTAAATATACTAGTGCTAAAAGGGTAATTGAAACCACTGGTAAAACCTTGTTTATGACAAGGATTGGAATTTTATAGAAAACATTTTCCTTTCTGGTTATAAAAGGATATATGACATCTCTCATAGAAGTGTAAATAAATGTTAATAATGAAATCACAGATGCTATCTTCATTGGCAAGTGCCACTTGGGGAACAGCTCCTGCTTGCAGTGTTGTTCTGAAGACTGTTCAAACTCACCAAAATGGTGTGCTTGATGTAAATTAAAAAGTGCAGCTGCTTCTGGTGGATTGGTGATTTGCATATCCATGTTCTGGAAAGGACAGAAAAATAAATACCAAGTGAGTTCAAGAGAAGATTAAAAACTTCATTAATGGCAGTATTTGCCATCATGGCTTTTACACTGTATTGCGCTGAAACCATATACAAAACATACACACTATTAAAGACAAGGTAGCTTGAAAACAACGTTTTAAACATCATAGTCAGTAGTTGAACAAGGCACTTTTAGCATAGATTTTGCATTCATCATTAATTATCTGTGGTAATTTCAAAATAGATTTTAATTCCAGGAAGTTAACTACACCACAAGGGAAGATGGTTACGTTATGTGAAGCATCATTACAGCTTCTTATGATATGATCTACAGTTTTCAAATGTCAAATTTCAGCTATGGACTTAATGATGCAGCCCAAATAATATGTACAATAACAGAATCCAGAGTCAAGACAATAAAATATTTCATTCAGTCACTTCTATTTTAATGACATTTAATTGAGGGAACAAGGATAGAAGTAGAAATGTTTGGGATCCAGCATATTAGACTAGCTGCACATCTGTCAACTCCAGCATCAAGTCCCATGATCTTCCTCCTCTCCTTCACAAATGGAATAGTGTCCTCTTAACTTTTATGAAAACTTGTGAAACTGAGTCACTTCAGCTTAAAAAGCTGATTTTTCTGTGGCCACATAGGTATGACTTTAGTCTCACAGAAGACCCTGGCAGAATCATCACAATCCTTAGAAGGAGCTAAACTAGTACAAAATTTTAGTGCAGTATTATAAACTGTTTTACACTGAGATAATATATTTTAAGATTGTCCCGCAGTTGTAGTGGAAGAGGTACATGATCAGTATACATACAAAAATAAAATACATGTACCAACAGCAGGACATTGCACTTAATGCAGCAGACAGCTGTCCGGGGGTAGAGAAGGAGAACTGATAACTTTAGGTAATAAACATGTAAATCCTTTAATATTCCAGTGAAATATAAAGTAACATTGAACTAAAGCTGAAATGGCTCAGCTTTAGAATGACTGATGTGGCAGATGTCCAGACCTCCGGAAAGTGAAACGGCACTGTCTGTTTTGAGGAACGCAAATATTAGTAATTTGAAAGTTGCAAGTTAGTGTTCTGCTAGGATACAGGAGATCTTTTTATCTCAGCAATATTATCTGACATTCTTAAGAATCAAATATTACATTGAAGCTGATTAAGCAGTCAATTCATACAATGTACTACTTGTAAATAATGCAAGGGTAAGTGGGTGCAAGTCTTGTGTTTGTCTTCAATGATACGTAGTGTTTTAACAAAGAGATAAAAAATGTACACTGCTATCTTGCTGTAAAATCCTAATTGGAGACAAGGTAGCCTGTTTTCCACCTGACTGACTTGTCTACAGTGCCTCACAGTAAAATTAAAGGGCATAGTCTTCATTAGGCTTTTTAGCTGAAGAGCTACTATGTGTTTACCTGATGATAAAAGCATATTTTTGTAACAGTGAAGGCGTAGCCTAAATTACTTTTATTCTCTAGTCTGTGAAGAAAATGAGAGTGTAGTCTATGCATTGCAGAATTCGAAGCTGGTACACAAACTGAGATACATATCTGAATCAAGTTTCACCTAGAGATGCCTCTTTCTTGAAGAGATAGTCTGTAAAGTCTAATTCAGTATTTCACAGCCTGTGAGACAGTTCACATTAGAACAGAAAGTTGTAGCTTGAACTACTTCTGTGTATCAGCAGTTGCAAAGGCAAATGCTGTTGGAGTGGATTTTTTCTTCTGGACTTCTTTGTGTGATACGGAAAACCTACTGAATCTGATGTGGCAATTAGGAAGATTCTTCCAAAGATAAATTTTATATTTCTGTATAAAAATCTCAAATTATTTCTACATAGCTTTGCTCATCTGGTAAAATGCAACTAGCAACTAACCTCGTGCTGTGTTTAGCCAGCCCAACCTATGTAGTTTTTAGCAAGGACTGTGATTAAACTGAATGAGATGATCTTTATCTTTTTATCTCTTCATGTCAGTATTGTGACAAGACTTTAGAAGTATTGATGATATGCCAGTGTGATGGGAACACAGTGCTTCTGGACAAAATCAAATTAAAGATTGCAATATTCTGTGTGACATATGAGCTGCTTTTTTACAGAAGCATTACCAAGTTGCTAAGGTTTCCTGTATTTCTTCTCGGCCCGATGCTCTGACCTGCATTCTGATCAATGGCATGATTATCACCTTCCCTCTTCTCCATTGTGGAAACTCCCTGCAAAACAAACACAGGATGTAAAACAGGTTTTGAAATGCTCTACTGGAGCTTTGAAGCCTATTTTCCCTCAAAATATTTTCTTCCCTCTCCTCTGCTCATTTGCTGGAGAAGGTACAATAATCTAAGGAAAAGGCAGTCGGTCCTCTGAGGACAGAAAAGCTCAGCTTGTGTTTTAAGTAAAGCAGAGACTGAGAGGATATGAATCAACAGAACAAAATCACTGATGAAAAATAATAATTAAGCTAATGCTTATGTCACCAGTGGAATGAATTAATTCAGACTGTTTTTAAATTGCAACAATAAAGTTTGAAACAGCTTACAGAAATAACATGTAAAACGTTATGAAGATGGATTTTGGTAACTTCATGAGACTTGCTGAGGCAAGAAACTCATGCAAACGTGTTTCCTAATATTTTTTAGGTTTTAGGATTTAGATTTTAGGATTGGTCTACCTGACAGTCACTCTGTGATTTAGAGGTACATTCTCCCTTTGACATTGTCAGGAAACTCCAGCTGGATCTTCACTCATGCTGTTCCAAGGTACACTGGCAATACTGATCACCCACAAGTACCAGCAGAAATAGTTCTAAGCAACTAAGGACTATAAGAAATCAGAAGCCGGAAAAAAAAAAAAAAAGATGATACTGGATAAACTGAAAGAGATGTTTCTGAAAATCTTAGGATAGCAGGAAAGACAGTATCTTGAAGGCTGTAAAATAACTGCAAGGACCCTGCAACGAGGACTTCCTCTGAGTGCATCACAGCTGCATGCTGCAGGAGAGGCACCAGCACCGCGCCGCTGGCAGCTCAGCTCAGGGTGTCGTACCACAGCACACTTGGGCTAGCAGCTACCTTTAAGACAGTGACTAGGTAGCTCCTCCAGGTACCTTCCAGCTGAATTACTAGATATGAAACTGTTTTGCTAACTACTGTTTCTTTTATACCCATAAACCTGTTGGGAAATTGTATGGGCAGTTGCCCTTTTTTTTTTTTAACTGCGTCTGGTTCCTTCAGTGGATGAGTCCTACAGTCTTGTACTGTCTGCTGCGAGGGTTTGAGTTCTGCCAGGCCACCGGACTCCTGAAGCCACAGTATTCTTTTCCTAAGTATTTCTCTTTGGATTTTTCCCTCCTGCTAGCAAACTTTCCCTTTGGGCATAACCTTTCAGCCAAGTGTTGCAGAGTAGGGTCAACAAGAGCTTCTGTCTGAAGGTCAGGCTGTTAACCCTTTCCTACACCAGCTAATGGATGGTCTGTATATGCTGCACACAAGAAAGCACGGGTCCACGAAGGCACATTTCTATTCCTCCCCACCCAATCCTAGAGCTAGTCCCAGTCATTTTATCACAGGTTTCTGGGTATCAGATGTCTTCATAAAACCTCAGCTCCTGCAGTCCCGTGATTAGTTAAGAATATCTACTTCTACATGTTTTCATATACTGCATTTCTAGCTGTTACAATGGCAAATAATAGTTTTCAAGCAGAACTTAGTATAATGTACTTACCTGGAAAAAAAATGTAACAAATACAGTAAACTCCAGATCTATTTTTAAAAGAACTCAGAACATGAAGGGTAGTCACACTGGTTTTGAGGCCTGCCATTTAATTTTTAAAGTTTGATGTGGAAAATAAAAGGATGTAAACTTACAGACTGACGTTTTATTCCTTTAGGTAATGAGACTGACTTCTTAAAATTGTTAAAACAGCTTGTGGCTCAGATTTTTGCTGTTTTTTTTTTTTTTTTTCTTCACTTATCAACAGTCTGCATGAGCTTACACAGTGATCCCAGCCACTTCATAACTCTCCTCTTCTGACTACCACACTATCTTGGGGGGTCCAAAAGAATATTTTAGATTGGGAAGCTCTGTCTGGAAGAGCTTGACTCACCAGATTCTCATGCTGGTATCACTCTTCATTTAGAAAATTTGGAAATTAAGAGTCTGGTAATAGCTTCTAGCTAAAGGTTTGTATTGATGAGGATGCAGTAAATGCTATCATGATGTGCACAAATGAATAAATACATGAGCTAGGATGACAGCTGCTGATCCTAAAACCTGATTTGTTGGTTCTTCTGGGAAACAATGTTTAATACAATGATAAATAATGTGTTAATGGCTTATGCAGCAGAAGACAAAATGCGAAGAAAAAAGAGTGTGTGAATGTGCTCATCCATGGAAATATGAGTTACAGCCATGTGACTGAATGCAAGGAAACATTGGTGCTGAACCGTAATAGTCCACTTGGCTTCTGATACCACAGCTGACACAAAATTATTTATTGGGTACGCCCAGTAACAAAGCACAGTATTAGTCTTGGAAATCCCTTAATACAAGACACTTATAAATCCACTATTCGGTGCCTTATGAATTGCCAGAAAGGAGTCATCTATAGCATGTGTCTTTTTGGAATACATCTGAAGACAAAAATGTAAGGAGTCCTGTGAGAGACAGAAACTAATCAGTCATAGCCTTATTTAAGCCACAACTGTTATGAAAGAAAACAGTTGTAATGTCCACCCTCAGTGCACGCCCGTCCTGCTCTGGAAGGCAGCTGTGAATGAGGATGGAGGATGTCCAGCTGCAGAAGGCCAAGTTTCCAATGCTGTGAGTACGCTACTGTATTTTGCAGTGAGAAAGCAGGCTCATTGTAACGCCGAACCAACGGGGATCCAGACTGTGCAGACACTACCCCGAGAAAACATCATCCAAAGTCAGTGAGAGGTTTTCCCGAGTAAGGGGTTTCAGGGCTGGCTCCACGAAAAAAATAAAAATGGGTAAAATAAACAGGCTATGATAATAATGATGAGGCGACGGAAGAGGGACTGCGACTCTTTCCTTTGGCACCCTCGGAAAATGACAGCGGGGACACGTTAGGGATAACTGTCTCGCTTTCGAGGTGCCTGCTGCACCGCGCCGGACGGTGTAAGCACTCGGGACACGAATAAATAACTTTCGCTGCTCTTAAAAATTCTGCTGAGCTCTGTGGAAAACCTAATAAAAACCCAGGGCGGGGGGGCCGGAGCGGGGGAGCGTCGCTCGGCGCTTCTCCTTGCCCGGAGCGCGCCCGGGGCGCACCGCGCCGGCCGGGGCAGGTCCGGGTGGGCGGCCCGCCCGGCGCCCGCACGCTGCGCGCCGCTGCCCGGGGGGGGCCGGGCGCCGCGGGGAGCCCGAGCCCGCGCCCGCCGAGGGGACCCGTCCCGTCCCGTCCCGTCCCGTCCCGTCCCGTCCCGTCCCGGCGGCCGCGGGGCGGGCGGGGCCCCACGCCGGAACCCGGCCTCGGCCCGGCCACGCGGGCTCCGGCGGCTCCGCCAACGGCCGCCGCCCCCCCCGGGGCTCACCCACCTCGGCCCGCCGTCCGCGCAGCCTCTCCTTCGCTCCAGAGCCCGGAGCCCCCGCCGCAGCGGTGGGGGGGGGGGGCGGCGGCGGGCCCCGGCTCGGCTCCCTCAGCCCCGGCGGCGGCCGCGCGGGTCTGTCGGGGAGGGCGGACTCGGGGCAGCCGCGGAGCGCCTGCCGGGCTCTGAGATGGGGAGCGGCGGGGGGGGGGGGGGGGGGCCTGGCCGGAGCCTCCACCTCCCCTCCCGGCCCCGCCTTCCGCGCCCATCCCGCTCCCCTCCGCGCCCGCGGGGTGTAAGCCGGATCCCCGTCCCGCGTCCCGAGCCGCGGTGAGCACCGGAGGGCGGCGGAGCGGCGTGGCCTCGGGGGTCTCCCCTTGGGCCGGCCGCCCCAAGCAGCTCCCAGCCGCGGGTCTGCTGAGGCCTCGGCTGGACAAAGGGCGCATTCACCTGCGCCCTCCCCGCCCCGCGGGAGGAGGAGGAGGAGGAGGAGGAGGAGGAGGAGGAAGAGGCGCCGAGGTGCGCTGCCTCACCGGGCGCCCCTCGCCTTCGCGCCCCTGCCTCGGGCCGGCAGCCCCGCTCCCGCTGCCGGGGCGCACAAGGCTGTGGCGGAGGCATCTCCGGCGCTTTGCGGGGCTGCGGGGCAGCCCCCGCCCCACCAGCCGCCCGAAAAACGCAGCCCTTCACACACATCCCTGCCCGGGACACCTCCCCGCCTTTCAGCCCGTCCTCCCTGCCCTACCGCTTTTTCCAAACCTGTCACTCTCCCAGCCTGGCAAAATGCTGTATTAAATCCTGCTTCTAATACGAGCAGTCCTCACTTTTCTTTTTTTTTTTTTTTTTTTTTTTTTCCCCCCAAATACCATGATCGTGTACCTTTTCTCTGTGCTGCCATTTCTGAAAACGCAGCTGTCTCCTGAAAGTTTAGTCACAAAACGGTGTGAACTATCATTATCTTGTGAAAGCTCTGTTTTAGTGGATATTTCAACATTTAGTGGCTTACTGACATCGCAGAAAACATGGCCAGTCTGTCTCAGAAATGTTTTCATTTCTTCACGCAGAGCTTATTGCAGCTTCCTCATGATATCTTCACAGAAATGATGCCAAGCTCCATCTCTTTATATCTTGGGAATGTTTTTTTCTTCCTTCTCAGTAGATGTTAAGTAGACATAGACTCCAGCTGAATGCTACATCTGGCAGAAAAGAGGATATGGCTGTAGAAGGAATAAAAGATGGTATAATTGTCTCTCCTGTGTTAAATATTTTGTATTGTCTCACTTTGTGACAGTGCTGTTTGATTTTCTTTTCTGCTCCATTTTTGTCAGGTTATTGTTGTTTGTTGTGGGTTTTTGTTTGTTTGTTTGTTTTTTGTTTGTTTTTTGTTTGTTTGTTTGTTTGTTTGTTTTGGTTGGTTGGTTGGTTGGTTGGGGTTTTTTGTTTGTTTTTTTTTTTTTTTTTCCCCAGTCCACAGCATCAGCAGGGTGACGCCTGGCGGTGGGAGCGCTGGGGAGGAGGCTAACTGCGGCAAGGTGTACCCGGCTGGTCTTAGACACTGGGTAAATGAGAATTTGTAGTATAAAGGGCTAAAAAACATTGTCTTATTCCAAGTGGATTCTATGGTAAAGCTCTCCTCTGAAGTCCTGGTGCAAGTTAGTGTTATTTATAGACTGAAAGGTAGCTCAAGATGCTGAGACGTTTCAGCATCTGGATATCCTATCTTAAGGATAGAAAATCCTTAAGATATCCTTAGCCTTTTTGTAAAACACACAAGAGCTAAGCTCCTGCATAAGCATTCTCAGAAGACGAGATGAAAGGCCAGCCAAAGTGAACCTGGCTCTGCACAGATGCTCCTGGGTATCTCTGGACAAGAGGATCCCCTCTCTAGTCTGCATCCCGAGTACTATTGGGTGCCTGTCTGTGAATAAAAATGGAAAGCTCATTTTATGTGGGTGCTGACAATGTGGAGGTAGATTCAAATGCTAGGGAAAACTTTCATGACTACCCTAAGGCATGACTTCCAAATCATTCAAAGTACCACTTGTATTAGAGTGTTTACTAGAAAGCAAACTGTATGGCAGTCCTCCTGCAGACTATTTCATCTAGATGATACCATTGCATGCTGACAGCTTTCAGCTGGTATTTATGTAAAGCGCTATGCAAGAGGTGTGAGACTTAAGGTAGGAAACACCATAGGAATCAGGAGTTGATTCAGAATGAGATAATTGCTCTTGGCACATGCAGGATGGGGATGATCTCACTGACAAAAATGTAAAGCTGTGCAGATTTGGCTGGCTCCAAATGTTTTTAGAAGTGTCAGTATTCTTTAGCTATTGCAGGAGTTGGGTGAGAAAGACGAATACCTCCATGGTTGCTGAAGTGTGACAGGGTATTTTCCAGAGATGAAAAAGGCTCTGGTGACTCTGTCTTAGACAATCTGTGTTTCAGTCCTTCTTCATTCTGGACAGACTCTGTGTGTGATGTTGACAAAGGATGTGAGGGAAGAGGGAATGATAGACTGCATTTTCTGGAGGAAAAAAAATTATTGCATCATCAACAAGATTGCCTGACATTGTTTTAATCTTGAGAACATTTTCACCACAGTTTATACAGGGAGAAGTCTGTGGTCAGGGCAATTCGTCTGCTTCTGCAACTGCTCTTTGTCTAGGAGCTCTGAGAACAACTTGCCAAATGGTTGGAAAAGTGATGCAAGTCTTCCAGTAACACACAGGCCTACATATAATCACACTAACAGTCTTGTGCTGAACTTGTTGAGTAAGCTAAGTGTAACTATTACTGTCAGCAAGATGACTCTAGCATGCCCTTGGGTGACTCAGAAATGATGCTGCACAGGGGGAAGTGGTGTGGAGGGGTGGAAACCATTCCCTATAGTTTAAACAAGTGCAAATGGGCTTGGTTTAGCTGTGTTGAAACAGTGACTGGGTTTACAGGATGGCACTGGAGGGGGTTCAGCAGAGGGTTACCAAGGTCGTGAAGGGCTTACAGCACATGCTTCCTGAGGAGAGACGTGGAGGAACTGGGCTTGTTTAGCCTGGTGAAGAGCAGACTAAGGGGTGATGTAGTAACAACCCTCAAACACTTGAAGGGGAGTTACAAAGGTGAGGAAGCCCAAATCTTGTTGGTAGCGGCAGGGAGTGTAATAACAGTCAGGGATTACAAATTGCAGCTCGAAGGTTCATACTGGATATCAGGAAAAAATTCAACAGTGAAAATGCAGAGGGATTGTGGAATCAAGGAAATTTTCAAACTTTTCCTATAGAGAGTGATGGCTGACTTCATAGAATCAATGAATTGTTGAGGTTGGAGGGGAGCTCTGGAGATCATCTAATCCATGTCCTCCACTCCCCTGGCCCAATGAAATGTTAACAAAGCAGGTTTCTCAGGGTATTGTCCTGTTGGGATTTGAAGATCTCCAAGGACCAAGACTCCACAACTTCTCTGGGCAACTTATTCCAGTATTTGATCACTGTAACAGTAAATTTTTTTTTTATTTTATATGTTTAGATGGAATTTCTTATTTTTAAATGGAATTTCCTGTACTTCAGTCTGTGCCTATTGCTTCTTGTTCTTTCTTTGGACTCCACTGAGAAGAGTCTAGCTCCATCTTCTTTACTCCCCTCTTCCCTCAGGTATTTATATGTATTGTTAAGAGTGTCCCTGAGCTTTCTCATGTCCAGGCTGAGTAGTCCCAGATCTCTCAACCTCTTCTTGGAGGAGGAATGCTCCGGTCCCCTAATCATCTTCATGGTGTCCTGCGCAGAAGTAGTTTCAGTATGTCCGTGTCCTGCTTGTGCTGGGGAGCCCAGAACTGAGCACAGCACAGCAGATGGGTCTCAAAGGGGCTGAGAAAAGGGGAAGGATCACCCACCTTGACCAGCTGTCAATATTCTTCCCAATGCAGCCTGATCTGGTATTGGCAGGGGTCTTTCTTTGGCTGGGACAGTGGACACAAAATTTAACTGCATTAGTGTTTCTGGCCATGAGGGTGTGTGAGTTGCTAATGAGAAGACTCTTGCTCAAAATTCCAAAAATCTGTGAAAAGGGATATTGAAAAATATATACTACAAAGAACCATATATGAACTTTGAAAACTATCAAATAATTTGAAAATTAATTTTGAAATGCAATCAATTCTAACTTGATTTTGAAAATTGCAGCAAAAGAAACTACAGCGTTGGCTCCAAAATAGGATGGAGCTGAGTTGGGAATGGAAGTGGCAAGTTCCCTCTGTTCATATTATGAGTGGGAGTTGCAGATGCACCTGGCAGGGAATGCTTGTTCCTTGTGGTCTAAGGCCATCTGACAACTGAGGCATTAGACAACATATTTGGTTTACTGTCTTCAATAATCTCCTTTATCCAAGGGATTACAATAGAAGGGGATCAGATAAGCAGACAACTGCCGTATCCCCTGCTGAATGAGCATGAAGTAAAAGACCGGCTCTTCTTAGCGAATAACATTGTTAAAGTAAAAAAAAATTTCTTATGTGGCCTGGATTTATAACACAAATTCTGATTCAGAGGAGTGGCTCTCAAACTACATGAAATACTTGAGTTCCTCTGGAGGATGTAAATCATCAGTGCCAAGTCACAGGAAGCTGAGGAAAAGAAATACAGTGAAAAATCTTAGAGACTTGAGATTGTTTGAGAAGCCTGTTCAATCCAGTCCAACACCTGTAAGAAACAAAGTTATGTTCTACTTCTCTTGAATTATGAGAAGTCAATAGAGCCACATGACACCCAAATAATTTCTTGACAGTGATACTTTTAGACATTGTTGAAAGTACAAGACCACATGACTGTTTCAGTTAAAGTTCAATTAAATGAGTTGAAAAACAACTCAAAGTAGAAGAGAATAGCAGTATTTTATTTTCTCATTCCTTGTAAAAGAAAATACATTCTGGATTTCAAGTATATAATTTATAGACAAATACAGAAAGCACTTCCACTCCTAGTTTGTTGAGCTAGCACCTTTCACAGAATTCCTGATAATGCACGTTTTTTCTTGGAAGCAACACAGAAGTATTGATATTTAAGAACAAAATTTGATTGAATCAGGCATAGTTATATTCTTTGTGTATAACCATATACTCTTAAAGTAATGCTTGCCTTTCTTATTGTGTTTGTCACTTTTACTTATATAACATTTAAAATTGTACTGTTATTGTTTGAAGCAGTTATGATACTTCTCTGATTGTGGTGTTTTGATGATTTCTGCTGCACACATCACAGGAGTGTAGAGCTGGCTGCCTTAAAATACTTACAATAATGAAATCAGTGATAATAAACATAACAGTAATTTATATGCATATTAACAAAAAAGCTGCAGTGCTTCAAGACTGTAAATTGTAAAGGGTACAGGGGAAGGAATGGACTTGCAGGGGAAGGGCTGCTGAGTAAAGGCAGAATATTGGGCATGGAGGTAGGCATTTGACCTACCCCAGTTCAAGAGTTCTTTTACATTTTTGCCTCT